ACGACAGTCGTACTTGCCGCTACACTTGACTATCCCGATAAAAGCGTTCCTGTCAGGGTACCGCTAGCTGTCGGGCAGTTCCCATGGCACCTCCTCCTCCACGACACAACCAGGCCCAACTTTTATATGTGTTGGATTGTTGGACAATAACTGTTAAACGATCGGGCAATAGCCTCTTGACCAGGGGCTCCCCGACCCTCGGGTCTGGCAATGCTAGCACTGCTAGCTTCTGAGAGCCGGGGTCGCAACCAACGCAGAAAAACCAGATTTGAACACAGAAACGATAACTTTTAGAATAAGGATGCGGGCGCGAGAGAGAGAGAGAGAGAGAGGCACATTCGGATCCCGAAACCTTTTTCACTCCCCTGTACCCTTCTTGGGCAACTCTCAGCCGGGAAGCCCCGCCGAGTGCGAGATCAATCAGAATGCCCTCGACTACCAATTAACACCGCCCATCCACGGACGGCGGAAACGGCGCAGGCGGACGACGGGCGATGACTGTTCCTCATCTCGGAGCTGGCTCGAGTCACCGCCCTCCAAAGCCCCAATGTCCGGAGCCCTGAGATTTCTTCGAGGCAGGGCCTGGACCGGAACAGCCCGCACGCCAATCAACAACCACGGCACTAACACGGCGGCGATGCACTCCAATTGTACACTTCAGTTCACCACGACGAGGCGGGCGGTTTTAGACAAGCGCTGATACCTAGCACGATGCGTGAGTGCGGCCCAACCCAGTCGACAATGCGGCCAGCGCATGGCGGCCCGGTGGTGGTAGTGAGTGAGTGGCGTTGTCATGGAACCCCCCAAGCACTCATTGCATGGCTGGAGAGCTCGATGCGGCAACTCGTAGCAGTCAGCCCAGCCTCGAATCGCCGCCTCAGCTCAACGTTTGCCACGGGAAAAGCCTACACATCCTTGTCCAACTCTATTCTGCACGCCGGGCTGCGACAGTGGCCTCAGCGCCGAGCCCTCGCCTCTTCTGTCGTGATAATGCCTCATCAGCTTGACCGCGGCCTTTGCTCTGGAGTAGGGGCGGACACTCGCTCCCTCTCGACGCAGACCCTCCTCATTAACTCCCCCAATCAACCGGCGTTTGGATCCCCTTGAGGTTGGACAGATGGGGAAAAAATTTCACCATCCGGATCAACCTCCGCAGTGCCCTCTTCATCTCCCTTCCGAATGTGTAACGGATCGATCGATCCATGGCCTCTTGCAGCGCCCGGTCTCGGTGGTCCGTTCTTTTTTTTTTTTCTTTGCTTGTTGTGCCCGCTCTGGGCCCTAGTTGCTCTTGCGCTGTTTTACATTGGACGCGGGACACATGTAAGAGACAATCATAACAAACAAAAACAGACTCTTCTCTCTCGTACGGCTGGGAGGGGGGTTATGTGTTACTTGGCAACTGAGCTAGCATCTTGCCCGCCCAACGCCCGCAGGGAGGCGGCGCTAATAGCATTCGAGAAGACGTCTCTGGCCGAACGACTGCCCGTTGTCGTTGTGCCCACACAAGACGTGGTAGCATACCTAACTGCTTATGGTACGGTACGGTACGTATGGGGTTGGTGATCGGCATCAGACCATTGCACCCGTCAACCAACATGGCAAATTTGACCGTCCAACCACGCAACGGGTGCTGCAGTAACAGCCAGTAATAGGTACCCTCCTGCACCGAAGCAGGGGCCGTCTCACGCATTCCCAATAGCCAGTCTTGAGACAGGACGAAGTCATCAACTCGGACAAAGGCAGGCCCGCATGCTGGGCGTCGACGGCTCACGTAATACAGTGTCTGTCCACTCACCCCCTTGAACCACGGGCGCCAGCAGGCCGGCGATGACGTCAGACCATGTTCTCGACTTTGTACGGGTACCGGTTTCATCTTTTCCAGGCTGGGGTCCAAAAACGAGGACCGCGGCATTCCATTCCAAGTTCCTGGGAAGGAACGCTGCGCAGGCCCGTGGGTTCGCGTCTGGCAGTCACCATCAGCAGAAACGCTGACAGGAACAGCAGCGAACCGACCCGGCGTCCCAGATGTTGTCGGTCTGACGTCCGGGAGCCCGAGACAAGCTCGTGCGGCGTCTCTCGTCCCGTGTCGGACGACGAGGAGCAGAGCACCTTTGGAGGAACCCGTACCTTTGGCGAACGCGAGTCCTTGATCGGATTTCCGGGACGGGCGATTCAGAATTCCCTCTAGAGCGGCAGACGGTCCAAGGCTTTACGAATCGAGGCACAGACAGCGATTCGCCAAACTGCTGCTGCCCGTAGGGGGGGGGGGTGAGCAATGGATGTGCCAGTCACGGCTTGACACGACCGTACGTCGTCGAATCTTGGGCGGCTCCCCGTTTCACCATTTCGGTTGGCCTTGGTCGAAATCAGGCCGAATGACACGCTGTGCCATTCCTACTGGGAGTGAGTCAACACGGGGCGGGCCAGACCGCAGGACTGCATTTTTGGGGGGTGGACGGTTGCCAATCGCGGAAGTGCCTCGAGGAATGGGATTGTATCTCGCCTCCTCGCTGCATTGATTTTGCCTCATGGAGATTGGTTGCAATTCCAAACCGACACGGGCCACAGGTGATTTTATTTTTATTTGATTCTTTTTATTTGATAATTTTTTTTGTTGGGGACGGTTCCAAACACTGACCATGTCGGGTGGTTTCATCCCGCTTAGGGTTTCCTTCTGGGCAGGTGATGGTTCGATGTCGAAGGGAATATTGGCCC